GTGACAGGCTGACACAGAGAGGGATAAAAAGACTAAGTAATTTATAGCTGTGTCCACATTGGAGACATTGCCCATCACTTCCTGTCCTGACAGCAAGTCAGAGAACCCCCCCCTATAGTAAACAAGATGGAAATAAAAACATACAAAGGCTCTAAGCCTGCATACTCACCTGTGCGTTCCGTGAACGTGCACCAAAGCACATTTTTGTGCATGTTGATGTAAACATGGCAAAATGTGCAACCTGCTTGCGTTGCCATTCATTTCTAATATAATTTCCCCATACACTGAAAGGAAGACGCACACTTTTGCTCTTTATTTCTGTGCCTGAATACACGCACAAACGCAGAAGTAAAAAACACAGAACACAACTCAAAAACATCTGCTACATGCTTTTTTTTTGCTGCGTAGGAAGGTCCCACTTAACTAAATGAAGACAGACACATGAACATGACGCACATTTAAGGAACCTTTCTCCACACCATTCAAAGCTACAAAGTTTTGGTTGATTGTTCTTTCAGTTTGTTGTTCAAAGCCTCTCTACTCCCTCCCCCAAGAGGGCGCAAGATCCGCAGATTGGCTCCTCAACACACCGGCCTGGTGAATACTTACACCCCACTGCGCCAGCCCATAACCTTGTTCTTGTAGCAGGCTATCTCAAACCTCTTCCCTCCCTTCTTCATCCGCACGACCGCCACATTGGTCAGCCGAATCTGGTTGGTGGGAGTGAAAATAGACATGTCTTCTGCCGCCTCTCCTTATGCTGTATGCCTTGCGCTAAGCTTCAGCTGCAGCTGCACTCTACCACACAACGATACTCACGCCTTACAGCTTAGGGCACGCATGCACAACAGCAAAGTGCTGGCGGAAGTGATTCGACTCCTGGCCTGTCATTGGCTAGCTAGGTCCATGTGATTGCCCCTGTCAATAAAGCTATTTTTGGTGAAAAAATACGGAAACAAACATGGCTGCCCCCATTGCAGCGTGAGTGCGTGTTGCAGACTTCTGTCATCTGCTCTGCTCTGCTCTGCTTTCCGGATTTGGCCGCTATGGAGTTAGAGTCTGTTGCTTTGTTGGTGCTCATTGCAGCAGCTCGTGTGACTGCTCAGAGTGAAGAAGGTAAGTCATGTGATGAGGGGCAACACTGACTATGGGACATGCGCCGTGCAGGGTGATCATCATGCCTAATGCACTCTGAGCTTCTGGGTGGTGTTTATTGATGTTACAGGTTAGAACAAATTTTATATTTTAACATTGCCTGCTTTTTTTTTAAGAAGAAAGGTGGGCGGAGAAAATGTGTTAGGGAAACTTTAATTACCTTTTTTTTTTTTTACTGCAAAATTTACTTTAGGCAAACTTGCTCCTCCCCAAAAAACACCCTTAAAGTAGAACTCGGAGGGGAAAAAAAAATCTTAATCCTTGGAGCGGGGATAATATACTCACCTGATCCTTGCAACAGTCTGTCTCTTAGACCTGTCCCCTCCACCTCGCTCCCCCTCCGCTGCAGCAGTCTAAGGATCGTTGATTTATCACGTTCTATACAGTGTATTGGATGCTGTGGGACATACCATTGCTGCTGTGGAGGATACAGTCTGGAGGGAGTGCTGTGCCAGGAGGCCAGATCTGAGGTTCCTGGTGAGCATAACTTTTTATTTTAAACCTAGACACAAACAAGCACTTAACCCTTCCAGTGTGGGGATAGCTCCACTGTAAGGGCTAAGAATGTATTTCCCTGGAGTTCTTCTTTAATGTGTATGTAAAGCCAAAATGTTTTTGGTTTTAGGGTTAGAGTTCCTGGTGGGTTTTGACTTCAATCTGGCGCTCCATTAGACCATTTTCCGCTCTCTTTCTACCCTGCTAACAATGGTTTCACCTTACAGGAAATGAGGGGAAATCTGCAATAGGTAAATGGCCAGAAATAAAAACGTGGCAGGGGTTCTAGTCCCCCCCTTACCAACAATAACCATTCTTATTTTTGGCTGTTTGGTTGTTGGAGCGCTCTCTTTGGTTTCTGTGTAGTAAAATGTTGCCAGCAAGTCAAATGGAGCCTGGGATAGCAGTAAAAATGGGGATTCCAACATTCTCTCCCTAATCAGTTAATCAATAATAGGTCATGAGAATAGTTAGTTGTCAACTATTCTCATTATAGATTAGTTGGTTGGATCACCTAGCTCTCTCATCCATGTTGGGAGGAGGGCACAGCAGGCAGTGGGCGGGTGCAATAGCCAGCCTACTATTTGCCAATGCAGTTTTGAAATGGCCAATAGCAGGCTGGCTATCGCACCAGCCCACTACCTGCTTTATTTACATTCAGCTGCTGTGTGTGGAATCTGCCACTGGCAGCTCTCATTCCCTGGCTGAGGCTTTTCAAGCGCCATATGCTTTCAATACGATTATTAAAAAGAATTTATAAAAGGTGGGGAAAAAAGTAATTTCCGGTTTTGGCCTGACTGATTCTGCTGTGGGAGGTGCATTAATTTCAATGGCACCCCAAACGTGCCTCACACCCACAATGTGATCACCTGCACTGAAACCCACAGTAAGGCAATGTTGTGTGTTCCAGAGCAGTGCGATTGCAAGAAATTGTGCATGCAGTTTTATTCTGAAGTAAACTTTGTAACGCTGCATTTGTGTATTTTATTTTAAATTAAGAATTTTATCTATATCATTTTTTTCTATTCGATTAATCAAAAAATAATTGGCCAACTAATCAATTATGAAAATAATTATTGATTGCAGCACAGCACTATCTCTATCCAAAACAAAGTGCAAGTTTTGTCTTCAACAATCCATTATTTATTAGGCAGCCTTTTGGTGCCTTATCCAACAGGTAGAGTATCTGCTTTGTCTCCCGCTGCCCTTTTAAAGATGGACTTTTCCGAAGAGATGGTGTGCCACATGACAGTGCTATGGCCTGTTTATTGCATGCTCTGTCATGAAGCTTTGCCGCAATGGAGAACAGGGTGGATGGTGGGTGCAGAGCGAGCTGGCAATAGCAATTTAAAAAATCGCGTAAAAAATTTAATCTGTTGCACTTTTGCTGGCTGGATTGGGGGTCTATTGATAAAGCATTTACATGGCCATTTGTCCAGCAAAACTTCATGTACATTTGTTCTGTGCGAATAGGGCGGAATTGAATGTTCTTAGTGTAACTCCTCTTCTTCTGGTTGAATTTTTTAAAAGAATGTAAATAACATATCGGCTGTCTCTTGCTCTCGCTTCCAGATTAAATGAGAACTACCATAACCTGAATAGTTCTATCAATACTGAGAACATCGGTTTGGGCCCCATTCACACTTGATGCCAATGTGAACATGCAAAGCATTTTGATGCATGTCAGCATAGGGCAGCCCATTTATTTCAATTGGCTTCCCTACACGTTACAATCGCTGCAAAGAAGCTCATGTGGCAATTTTT